CTGAGGAGTGACTGGTGGGTTGGAATCACTGACTTTACAGGGAGCAGTTCAGTGCTTATCCTACAGTGTTACACCAGGTCGAGAACAAACTGTACCACCCAGGAACCAAAACTGAAGAGGCCTTGAAGGAGGTGGTATACAGTGGAAAATAAGGATGGTAGTGAATAAATCAGGACTGTTTGTGAGGGTCGGAAATGTAAAGGTGGCTGTTTTATAGCAAGGAGGGGAGTGATTAACTTTTCAGTCTAGGAGCGGAGGTCCCTAGGACCATCAAGGGAGAAGAGCAGAGAGCGGGACCCTACCCAGAGAAGCAGTGATGCCTGAAATGGAGCCAGATATGATGACGTGGAGCTATGGCGCAGCTGGAGACTTTAGATCCAGAGAGGGAGAGCAACTGTGTGCTGAAGACCTAGGGGGTACGGGGGGAAGGATTGCATGGAGGGGACTGTAACCATGTAAGATTGATGTTCTCCCATGTAAACTATCACATAATTCACAATAAAACATTAAAAAAAAAAAGAAAAGAAGGATGTATTCCATTGATGTATTTATTTATTTTACCTCTACTCCTTCTTCTTTTTTTTTTTTTTAATGTACACCAAACACAGAGAAAATATATATTTGTTTGCGTGACCAAAGAGCACATTTTGCAAGCCAGCCTCCTGCCTGCAAGCTTGCAGCCTTTTTTCATTCCATGGGTCTCTAGTCCTCAGCTGCTCTATGTCTCCAGGCTTCTGTCTCTGCCGTCTCACCTTCTCTGGTTAGGATCCCACACTCCACTCATGCTCTTCCTTCTTGATGGTCCTAGGGTCCACTGTTCCTGGAATGTAAGATTAACCAACCGCCCTTTTTGTTTCACATTTTCTACCTTTACAGTTGTGATCATCTCAATTAGTCATGATAACAATTATTCACTATTGACCCAAAAGAATCCTATCCCTACCCTCTCCCATCTCCTTTCACAAGACCTCGCACTAATGTTTTTAAACAGTGCTAGAAGCCAGGATGGAACTGGTTGGATGAGATGGTCAAAACAGGAGGGGGAACAGGTTTGAAGGAGAGGAGAGAAATTTTATTTTGGTCTCAGTAGAGTGCCCAGGATGGTAAGAGAAAGCAGAATAGACTGGCTGAAAGAAAATATAAAGAAAAGTCTTTTTTCTCAACAATTAAATTTCAGTCCTGAGAGAAGGACAGGCAGCATTTAAAAGCACAATGGTCAGCGGAATGTGGGACCCTATCCAGAGAGGCAGTGACACCAGAGATGGAGGCAGAGGTGATGACATGGAGAGAGAGCAGCTGAGGACTTTGGACTCATAGAAAGAGAAAGGCTGTGTGCTGACAGCCAGGAGGCAAGCTTGCAGAATGTGCTCTTTGATTGTTTAAATTATTATATATTCTGAGGGTTTTTCTGTACATCCCCCCAAAAAAACAAATACAGAGGGAATAGAATTGGGCTGCTAACCTCAGGGTCAGCAGTTAGAAACTACCAGCTGTTCTGGGGGAGAAAGATGAGGCTTTCAGCTCCTGTAAAGATTTACGGCTTGGGAAACCCTGTACAGGGCCGCGATGGGTCAAAACCGACTCCATGGCACATAACCACTACTGTTGGATGATGATACACAGAGGAGATTGTAATCATTGCAATGAAATGATGAGTGTAAAACCCATGTTCTCCTATGTAAACTATCACTCAATTCACAATAAAAACTTGAAAAAAAAAAAAAAAAGCACACTGGCCAACTTTGGCTTTTGTTTCACCAAGGATCCTTTTCCTTTATCATTCTCATCGGCAGATGCCCTCTATGGATTTCTGCATGAGATGCTGCTTTGGGCTTCATTCTAGTTCAATATTTTAAAAAGTAATCTATTCCTATAATTGAACTCAGTTTGAAAAGTATAAATTGAGAAGTCTTGCTCCCACTCTAGTCTTTGTTAGAAACGTGACTTGATGCCGTAACAAAGACACAATATAACAAAGAATCTCCGCAAGGCAACTTTCACTTCTACAGAAAGGACCACAGCAGCACAAAGCCTGGCTAGCAAACACACCGGGAGAGCAGCCTGCTTGGGTTTTATCCATGATGTGATGGGTTGTGTCTTACCCCATTGGTTAGGGTTTTGACTGCACAGTCTTGTTTTTTACCCAATTGGCTAATTGTAAGTTAAGGCTGTGTCTCACCCTATTGGTGAGGGTTTCGATCGCTCAGTCTTGTCCCTATCTGATTGGTTAATTTGAACGGTTCTGGGAGGGAGAGAGTTTGGGGCTGGGGAGGTGTGGAATGTCTTTGCTCTGGGAGGTGAAAGTGCTCCAAGAACTAGTTTCGGTGGGTCTTGGCTGGATTGCAACACAAATCCAGGAATAGGGGAGTTTTCTCAAAACGGGTTATAATCAAATTTATCTCATTTCAGCACTAGCCTCATCATATATAATTTTTGCAAGAGAAAATACAAGCATTTCTTTTTTCACATTTTCAACCACTT